TGCACAAGGAGCAGTGATCTGATGTTAAATAAAGCAGGTCAGGAGATCTTTAGGACAATCTAAAGATGTACCTTCCACCTACTACCCACCCTTCTCACCCCACACCGAAATTAAATAAGCTTTAATGATAATTTGTTAAACCTTTTTACTGAGGAAGCATCAATTATTTTTTATCTTTTTAGAGGTATGGTTTAAAAGGGATAATTATAGCTCAATGCCTGAGTAATGTTAATTTCAAAGACTTAAAAACACTTTTTTGGTGCTTTATGGAGAGACACAGCTGACAGTGAAATGGCAGTGTTGTGGGATCGTGTGACCACTAGAGGTCACATTGTACTTTCATATTATTTGAAATCTTTCTTGCTAGTGTCTGTTGGTGAAGTCCACTTCAAAGAAAGATGGAAAAAGTCCATTACTGCTTCCTGCAAAAATTTAGCTGAAAAATAAACCCAAGCTGGACTATTACAAGAACCATCATTATATGTCATGGTTTTATGTTAGACAGTTTGTTACTTTGTTGGTTAGAGAATTGATTTGTATTATTGAAGTTTACAGTGAGATCTTAGTACCCGAGTTAGAAACAGAAACTTCCTACTCTCAGCCATAGAATAATTTGAATTATTTGCAATTACATCCAAATGATTACATATAGGTGTAGAGTCATATGAATATTTATCATGTATTTATTAAGATTTGAAGTATTGAATATGCAAAGACACAAGTGACTGACACAAGTACTTAAATTCTCTGGACTTTGAATTTCCAAGTATGTAAAGTGTGTATAATAGCTATAACTGGATTACGGTGAATCTCAACATTTAAGTGAAAGTTCTGTGCAAATGATGAAAATTTCTGCAGATGGTGAAGATGGCGGCCTAGGTAAACATGGTACTTGTCTCCTCCCACAACCACATCAAAATTACTGCTAAACTATAGAGTAATCATCATTCAGAACCACCTGAAATCTGGCTGAATGGAAGTCCTACAACTAGGGAATTAAAGAAGAATCAGCATGAGACTGGTAGGGAAAGTGGAGGCAATGAACTGGCTGGTCCCACACGCACGTGTGGCAGATAAAAATTGGGAGGGACAGCTTGGCTATGGAGGCTCCCCTGAGTGAGTGAGGAGTCCAGCCCCACACCAGGCCCCCAGTCCAGGGTTCCAGTGCCAGGAATAGCTTCCCATAACTCCTGGCTGTAAAAACCAACATGGATTAAGGCTGAGGGAACAGAGGGCTTCTGGAGTCCCAGCCAGTTCCTCTTAAAGGGCCAGCACATAGACTTACTCAGACCTACTCTCTCTGAGTTTTAGCACTGGGACAGCAGCTCAAAAGGCACCAGAGACATACAGGAGGATCAGAATTATCTGGCATCAGGGCAAAAGCTGAGGGGACTGCTTTCTCCCAGACAAATGTACTGGCAGAGGCCATTGTTCCTTTGATGAGCCCTCCCCCTACAGAGCCAGCAGGTGGACACCATGTCTGAGACTCACCCCATCCTGGTGATACCTTGAGACCCCACCTAAGTTTTGGGCCACCTTAACTATTTCCAGTGGCTTTTCTATACAAATGGCCTGTCTTGGCTTATGCTTCAGATTTTTAAAAAATCTCTCAAACAAGCAGCATCTGGCCTCAGTGTGCCCCATACCTTTGGCTAAGTACTGGTTTCAGTGAACCAAAGTCCAGCACTAGCAGTAGCCTGCCTTTCTTTGCAGCTTGGCTACTCCTGGGCAACTCAAGACCAACACAGTTATCAGCCATCTACAGATTGCTTGGTAGGTCATACCAGGTGGCCCTCGGCAGAACACAGGTAGCAGCTGACCTTGGTTTATACCTCCCAGGAGACCCCAGAGCCAGTGCACCAAGTGGACAGCTTCAGACCACATCAAAGCATCACCATTCAACCACCTCCTTAAGTGACACACTCAAGGGGCAGACTCAGAGGGCATTAGAGCCCCACTAAAGTAAGTACAGGGTGTTCCCCTGTACAGCTGATGACCCACAGTGGTCAGAGGTTGGTGGTCAGTGGTCACAGCCAGCCAGTCCTTGCAGCTGATTGGCCTAGGGGTAAATTTATCCCATTGACATGCCAACAACAGTCAAGGCTCAACTGCAACAGGATGGGGTGCACAGGCCCACACAGGGGGCACATCTGAGTGCCTAGCTAGGCTGACTGGGGAGGCTATGCCACTGAACACTACAAACACCTACTACATCAGGCCACTCTGCGAAGCCTGGGAGACATAGCAGTTATACCTAATACATTGAAACAAACACAGGGAGGCTGCCAAAATGAGGAGACAGAGAAGCATGCCCCAATGAAAAAAACTGAACAAAACTCCAGAAAAAGAACTAAACAAAATGGAGACAAGCAATCTGCTGGATGCCAAGTGCAAAATACTAGTTATAAGGATGCTCAGTGAACTTAGTGAGAGCCTCAACATCATAAAAAAAGGACCAGTCACAAAAGAAGGCTACACTAACCAAAATGAAGAATAATTTGCAGGGAATCAACAGGAGGGTAGATGAAGCTGAGAATCAAATCAGCAGTTGGGAGTGTAAGGAGGCAAAAAACACCTAATCAAAACACCAAAAAAGAAAAAAGAATCCCCTCAAAATGAGGATAGTGTACAACCTCTGGGACAACTTCAAGCACACCAACATTCACATCATGGGGGTGCCAGAAGAAGAACAGAAAAAGCAAGAAATTGAAAATCTATTTGAAAAAGAGTGAAAGAAAACTTTCCTAATTTGGTGGAGGAAATTGTCACACAAGACCAGGAAGCACAGAGTCCCAAACAAGATGAACCCAAAGAGGCCCAGACCAACACATATCATAACTAAAATGCACAAGGTTAAAGACAGAGAATCTTAAAAGCAGCAAGAGAAAAGCAATTAGTTATCTACAAGAGAGCTTCCATAAGACTGTCAGCTGATTTCGCAAAAAAAAAAAAAAAAAAACCTTTGCAGGCCAGAAAGAATTGTCAAGAAATATTCAAAGTGATGAAAAGCCAGGACCTACAACCAAGATTACCCAGCAGAGCTATCATTTTGAAAGACAGGTAAAGACCTTCCCAGAAAAGAAAAAGCTAAAGGAATTCATTACCTCCAGACCAGTATTATATGAAATGTTAAAGGGTTTTCTTTAAGAAGAAGGAAAAAAAGATAAAAATATGAACAATAACATGGATAAATGTATATCTATTAACAACTGAGTCTAAAAAACAAAATAGATGAACAAGCAGAACACAAACAAGTTCATAGATAGAGAAAATATATTGATGGGAAGGTGGTTGCAGGGGTGGGTAAAAGAGGTGAGGGGATTAAGAAGTACGAATTAGTTGTTACAGAACAGTCATGAAGACATAAAGTGCAGCACAGGGAATATGGACAATAATAGTCTAATAACTATGTATGCTGTCAGATGGGTACGAGATTTATTGGGTTGATCACTTACTAAGTTATGTATTGCCTAATCTCTGGAGTGTACCCCTGAAACTAATATAATAATGTATCTAAACTGTAATTGAAAAGTAAAGATGATTTAAAAATTAAAAAAGAATCACAAATGGGGCCTGGCTGGTGTAGCTCAGTGGATTGAGCAAAGGGTTGCTGGTTCGATTCCCAGTCAGGGCACATGCCTGGGTTGCAGGCCAGGTCCCCAGAAGGGGACACATGACAGGCAGCCACACATTACTGGTTCTCTCCTTGTCTTTCTCCCTTCCTTCCCTTCTCTCTCAAAATAAATAAATGAAATATTTATTTAAAAAAGAGTCACAATTGGTTATGCATGTTATCAGATAACTGCTGTTGTTTTGGGCCCATTAAAGGCATATTATGGGAAAGATTAGAGCATCCTCTAAAATTTTGTCCTGACTTTTCTGGTAGAATAGATTATTAGTTTATATTTACTCTTCTGAAATAGCCATTGTGGCTAATAGTGGATATATTTTACATGGGATATCTTTAAGACACTTTATTCTAGAAAGTGTCCCAAATGCTAACTTGCAGCTGTGTGAGAAATTTATGGATGGGGAATGCATCCTGCCCTGATCTTGATGTTACTATTTTCATTTAGTTACAGCCGTAAGTGTGGAACTGCTCTCTGACTTAGAAAAAGGTGTACTGATTCCTGTCAGTTTCATATCCTGACCACGTTTTGCAGAACCAGTGGGTTTAATTGAATTTAGGCATTGCTGTAGTCTGCTTTTTCCTATAATTTTGGTAATGATGTGGATAATATCAGATTTGAGGTGATAGATACTAAGGTAACCATTAGATGGGCTAAATAGTTATGATAAGGTGATACTTGAAATGTTTTCGTTATGAATCAGCCACAAATGGCAAAGGTAGCCTGAACTATTGTGTTTATAGCCATGCAGCAAGGGCTTGACTGGCAATTTTAGCATTTAAATGCAAACCGGTTTTTAGCTTTTGTATGTGGAAATGATTGTGAGCATGAGTAGAACGCTGTTGGCTCAAACACAGGGAATATATATGAATATATATACACACATACATGTATATATACACATGTATATATGATGATAATCTCTTCACTGTAAATATTTGATTTTTACTGCTCCCGCTCCCTGCTTCCTGTTGGCTTCAGTGGTGCCGATGGTGCCAGAGCTCAAATGCAGGTGTGCCTGCAGGACCCTTAAATTTACTAGACCACTGCTTTTTAAAGCCTTTGTCATCATAGCCTGCACTGTGTTTTCTGTATATGGAATGTTTTCTATTAAGTATGTATTAGACTTTTTCTCATTTTATGAACTTCATTGATAAGAATTCCCACTAAATATCCTTCTTGAATGGAAACCGTCATGTAGGTTTTGGGATCTGAGTTTCTGCTCAAACATTTATTCTATGATTTTATGCAGGTCCCTCAATCTCTGAGTTGTTTTGTTTTGTTTGCTCAATATATTTTTTTAATTTTTTAATTTTTAGTTTGTATTTAGGGAGGTGGCTGTGTTTACAATTTTTATTTTTTTCCATGTAGATAACAGACAAGAGAGTGTCCAGAAGACATGCCGTTCTTGAGGTGGTGGGTGGTCAGCTTCGAATCAAACCGGTAAATATGATTCATTTTAACGTTTTGCCTCTCACCTTTTTCCAGCTTCTGATTAGAGGGGCTTATTTTCTGAGGTTATAGAAATAGGAAATTAATGTCAAAATATATCCTTCTTATTGCTGGGAGATAAAGACCAAACTATTTAAACTACCTAAATTTTCCCACAGGGCGGTGTAACATTTACATAGTTAGAACTTCAGTGAAAGGTAACCAGCAGGTGACATGCACTTTATTCTTTTGTCCATGACTGGATACAACGAGTAAGATCGTTGTATCCGGTACTCCATAAGAACTCCATAACTGGGGCAGGGTCATGACCACAGTAAGCTGAGTGGTACAGAGTTGTATTTTAACAGATTTTTATGCCTCTTGTGTGTAGAGAATTAAGTATTTAGATCTGTCCAACTTTAGTATTTTAAAAATAATTGTGATTTGAAAGTTCTTGTTAAGGGTGAGACTTCTAATTACTTGCATTTTTGTTTGAGCGCTGTTGTATTGTGGGGAGAGCAGCTTCTGAGAATATGCTCTGTGCTTATTCCTTTTCATTTGCAGAATCTGTTGTTTAGGAGAATAGTCTATGTGTGTGAGGGTCCATTTATTTCAGACTTGATGCTTTGGTGTTCACTTTATTATTATGAAATGAATTTCATTAATTTATAGCATTTAAAAACCTACATGTATTTCCATCTTACATGTACAACTCCCTGTTGTAGTGTGAGTTCTTTCCTTTATCCAGGTAGTACTTTCATGATCCTGTGTCAAACCATTCCCAAATTTGAGAAGCATCCTTTTAATTCCAGTACTGGAGAAAGTTTTGAATTAAAATGAAGTCACACCATCTCAACCTTGAACAAACGCTTTTTAAGAGGGTTTTTATCTTGTGTCTTCGTGCCTTCAAAAGTGCAGTTCCCCGTAGTCAGTGTCCCTGCGGGCCCTGTACTCACTCTCAGTTAGGTGTCTCCCCATCCTCTCCAGCTGTCGTGTTCTTCAGACTAAGACTTACTAGATCATAAGCTTGTTGAGTAAAGGAACACTGACTGCTTTTCACATCTCTAATATCTAGCAATATGCCTAGCACACAGTAGGTAATTAATGTTTTTTATATATACAAGTAATTGCTGCAGTGGGAGCTGTATGTGGCATTTCTAGGAGAGGGGATATCATGGATTTTTATAAAATCGATATTTTCCAGTACCCAATTTCTAACACTTCTTCAATAAATTACTGTCCTAAAATAAAGAAGCTTGATTTTATTGTTACTGAAACATGATGTGGACTCGGCCCACGGGGTCTGTGTGTTGTGGCTGCAGCGAACAAATTCACACGGACTACAGAAGTCCTGTGGAGAAAAGGGACAGCACGGCCACTCTGGGTGAGAGAGAGGACCCCGACCCCTGCCTGGACAGGCTTTTATTGCTTTTCTGGGTACATTACATCCAGGATGGTCCTCACTTACTATGTACAGGTTCTCCTTAGGTGGTTACCTTTTACAGATAACAAAGGAAAGAATGTTGATAATTACTTCAAAGAGAAGGATATTGTAGATCAAGGGGAAAAATGGTTGAACTAGTTACACTCCATACTTGGGAGGTTCAGCACAGATTTTAGAAAGTTACTTTAAGGATATGCAGTAAGCATTTTCTGCCTCAATCCAGGATGAGGGAGTTTTAGCAAAAGTAAGCCTCATAGCCGCCTAGGTACAATGCAGGTCTGATTCCCCACAGAAGACCGATCTGTGGGTGTGGGTCCTGTGGGCTGACTCACTCCCCACTGGATTTTCCAAGCCAGGGGCTGGGCTACATTCCCCATGCCACGCTGAACAGTTCTCTATAGAAAGACATTAAGATAAAGAATATAGGAATCCCTAAATTCCTATCCTCCCTGGCTTTTCTGATTGAACACCTCATTATTTTATATTTATTTTTTTCAAAATGGCAATTATGGCCAATAATACACCTGGCTTTTCTACTAGAAGACCCATGACTTAATAATACTTACTTTCTACAGTATTCACATTTACTGCTGTAGAATTCATTTTAAATGAAACAAGGAACTTATAGTGAGCACTTCACTCTTAGACAAGGATTTCTAGTTATTTTTGATACTAAAGTAGAGATTATTAGCTTTTGCTGTAGGCTTATAGACTTTCCTAGATTTGTACAGTTAGTTATCAATTCCTGTATTTGCAGATAGGACTTGGGTGAGAACTTAAATGGTACAGCCACTTTGGAAAATAGCTTGACCTTATTTCCTACAGATAAAGGCATGTATTGTCTGCAGGTTAGACCATGCACTTGCACACACATGCATGCACACACCCCAAGAGATATACACAAGAAGCAATATGAATTTCTAGCAAGAGTGGAATTGATAAATAGGAGGGAAGACAAAAAAAAAAACAAACCCGAAATTATCTTCTGGATGGAGGGCCCCTCGTAGTACAGGCTTCCCTGGCTTGGTGAGTGTTCTAGGAACCCATCTGTGTCAGTGTACCAGCTGGGGTTGTTGTGAGAGGCTGCATTCAGCTTCAGGGAATTTTTTTGAAGCCTCTTCAATGAGTTTGCCCATTTCAGGATGGGTGCTCTATGAGTGCACCTGAGTGCTCAGCACTTTCTAACCAAAAATGGCATCACCCTATGCCTTGCTCACCCTATTCACCAGATCTCCCCAAGTGACTTTTATTTTCCTTGGGTGAAAAAAATCCTCAAATGGAAATGTTATGCTGATGTGGAAAAGGTGAAACAAAAAATGGCAGAAGCACAAAAAGGCATCAAAATCAACAAGATCAAAAACTGTTTTCAGCAGTGGAAAAACATCTTGATAGGTGTATTGCAGAGTACTTTGAAAGTGACTGAAGTTAAGATGTAAGAATAAATACATAATTTTTTATAAATAAATTCCAGGCTTTTTGGGGTCCTCCCTTGTATACTGTGATGTAATCATTTAATGAAATATACTATAACAGTGATGATAATTTACAGAGGAAGCGTGAAAAAACCTGAGTTAAAATTAGGAGCATCATAATGAATGACACAAGCAAGCATTGGAAGAATATGTGCAATATGGCTCCAACTATATAAAATTAAAAATTCTACAAAATAAATAATATATTTAGGTTCATAAACATAGGTGGTAAAATCATAAAGAAAATAAAGGATGTGGCAAATTCAAACATCAGGATAATAATGACCTCTCAGGGAACTGAGAAGAATGGAATGGGGAAAAACTCACAGAGATGTCAAAGGTAATGGTAATATTCTTTTTTTTGAAGGTTTTATTTATTTATTTTTAGAGAGAGGGGGAGAGAAGGAGAAAGAGAGGGAGAGAAACATCAGGTCCCACTGGGGACCTGACCTGCAACCCAGGCACGTGCCCTGACTGGGAATTGAACCAACGACCCTTTGGTTCGCAGGCTGGTGCTCAATCCACTGAGCCACACCAGCCAGGGTGTAATACTCTTTTCCCTTAAACTGAGTGGTGGGTCCATATATAATATCTCACATGTCTTATGTCTTTAAAATATTATTACAGGACATTTACAACATTAAAAAGGTATAAAGAAAAACACAATGTACCGCAGTTACTTCTGTAATGTCAAATTATCAAACATTGGAACACATGAAATAGTGTATTTACTTTTAAGGAAATGTACTAGAGATACACTAATAGTACTAGAGTTTGATTTGTTTTAGAAAAATATTTAATTGGGTTTTGGATTTCATTTCAGGAATCATTATATTTACATTACACTAGTTGAAAGAAAGATGCTTCTCATAGTTGGTGATACACCTATAGGTCTTTTGTTCTATTTAATTAATGCTTGCTTTCTTGTTTATGTTAATATCGCTTCAGTAAAATGCCTATTCTCTTGCAATAGATTTATTTATTTATTCACCTACTTACTGTAGCTGCACCTACAAGGTGCAATTTAGAGAAATTCTAAAACGGACTTTAATTGTTAACAGAAGTTTTAAGATCTTGAAATTAATGAGAATGAGATGAACAGGTGATGTCTAGCTCACTCATTTTAATGTGTGCTAAATATATTTTATTTGTGTGCTACAGCTATTTATATATACAATTGTAATAAAGTGTTAAGAGAGAAATGTTTACTTAAAATATTTTAAAGTTATGCAAATGAATACTGCAAATGTTTTGTTCTGATGATTCATTATGTATGCTGTGTACTCCAAATTATGTTTAAGTGATTAAATATTTTTTGTTTTCCTTTAATTTGGAAATATAATCAAATAAAAATGTAACTTTGACTATGATAGATGAATATAAATAAGCAATTAGTAATCTGTACTTTTAAATTGGATGAATTTGTGCCCATACTACCCGAAGCAATCTATAGATTTCATGTAATTCCTGTCAAGATTCCAATAACATTTCACAGAACTGGAACAATATTTCAAAAATTTATAAGGAACCAGAAAAGGCTCCACATAGCAACAGTGATATTGAGAAAGAACAAAGTTGGAAGAATCATGCTACCTAATATCAAACTACTGTAGGGCCATATTAATCAAGACAGTTTGGTGCTGGCATACAAACAGACACATAAATCAATGGAACAAAATAGAGAGACCAGACATAAACCCACACCTTTATAGCCAATTAATATTTGACAGAGGAAGCAAGCACATAAAATCAACTAATGATAATTTATTCAATAAATGCTGTTGGGAAAATTGGACAGATAGGTGCAGAAAAATGAAACTAGACCATTGTTACACCACTTACAGGAATAAATTCAAAATGGATCAAAGACTTAAATGTTAGACCCCAAACCATAAAAATCCTAGAAGAAAACATAGGCAGCAAAATCTCAGACATTGCTTGTAGCAGTCTTTTCAGATATATCTCCCTAGGCAATGGAAACAAAAGAAAAATAAAGAAATGAGGCTATGACAGAGTGAAAAGTTTTTGCCCAGCAAAGGAAATCATCAACAAAATAAAAAATAACCCACAGAATGGGAGAACATATTTGCTGATATATCTGATAAGGGGTTAATATCCAAAATTTACAAAGTACTTATAAAACTCACCCCCATACACACACACAAACCCAATTGAAAAATGAGCAAAGGACCTGAATAGAGACTGCTCCAAAGAGGCCATACAAATGGCCAATAGACATATGAAAAGATGGTCAGTGTCACTAATCATTGGAGAAATGCAAATTAAAACCATGATGAAATACCATTTCACATTTGTCAGAATGGCTATCACCAATAACTCAATAAACAAATGCTGGCAAGGATATGGAGGAAGAGGAACTCTTTTGCACTGTTGGTGAGAATGCAGACTGGTGCAGCCACTGTGGAAAGCAGTATGTAGATACCTCAAAAAATTAAAACTGGATCTGCCTTTGGACCCAGCAATCCCACTTCTGGGAATATATCCAAAAGAACCCAAAACACTAATTCGAAAAAACATAAACACCCCTATATTCATTGCAGCATTATTTAAAATTGCCAAGATAAGGAAGTAGCCCAAATATCCATCAATAGATGAGAGGATAAAACAGCCATGGGACATTTACACAATGCAATACTACTTGGCTATAAGAAAGAAGAAACTTTACCCTTTGCAACAGCATGGATGGACCTGAAGAACATTATGCTAAGTGGAGTAAGCCGGTCAAAAACAAATACCATATGATTTCACTCATGTGGAATCTAATAACAAACTGAACTAACAAGGAAAATGGGCAGACTCATAAACAGCAAGATGACAACTAGTAAGGTGGGGGAGGTTGTGGGGCTAGTAAGGTAGGTGGGTAAACTGAGCAAAAAGGAAAAAGGAGTCATGGACATGGACAACAGTGTGGCGATTGCTCAGGGGAGGGAGTGAGTATAAGGGGTCTAAAAGGTAATATAACAAAAAATACAACAAAAGCATTTTAAAAATAAAAACAACTAGGACTTCCGCCAAAATGGAGGCATAGGTGGATGTACCGTGCCTTCTCACACAACCAAGTTTAGAGACAACTAAATATTAGCAACAGAAAACAACCAGAACACAGAAAATTGAACTTTTCGGAAGTCCGTTAACAACAAATTCTTCAGCCTGACCTGTAAGGGGCGAAACCAGCAGCTGGTGAAGCGGGATTGCACAGGAGGTCTCGGTCAGACGGACTCAGGCGCGCGGAATCCAGGCCGAGGAATCCAGGTGCAAGGTTGGACCTAGTGAGCGACAGCAAGCAACCAGCGGGGCTGCGTGTTGACTGTGGTCACGCATTTGTGCGTGGGTGGACAGGCGAGGGAGTGGGCGGTTGGACTGGGGCCTGGCGGGTCCCCGCAGCACACGGCAGTAGAGTGTGCTGCCATTTCCCTGCTCTGACCCCACCTCCACATACAGCATCATAACCCAGCGACTCTGAGTGGCTGGGCCCAGGTGAACCACCTAAGGCGCTGCTCCTCACCCAGCTGTGAGAAACAGCAGAGGGGGTCGCCATTTCCCCACTCTGACCACACCCCCACATAAGCGTCACAACCCAGTGACCTGGGAGTCCAAGGCTCCCTTCCTTACACTTAAAGGGCATGAACAGACCAAAAAGGGCACAAAAAGATCTCAAAGCCCCAGAGCCTATAGATCTAAGCGATGAAAAAATAGCAAAACTCTCAGACGCACAGTTTAAAACATTGGTGATCAGGATCCTCACAGAACTGGTTGATTATAGCCACAAATTAGACAAATATATGAAGGCGAAACTAATTGAAATGAATGGAATTGCACAGGACACCAATAGCAAGGAAAAGGAAACTGGGACTCAAATCAATGGAGTGAACCAGAAGAAAGCAAATAATGGCCAAACAGAAAAGAGTCAAGAAGCAAGAATTCAAAGAAATGAGGAGAGTCTTAGGAACCTCCAGGACATCTTTAAACGTTCCAACATCCAAATTATAGGGGTACCAGAAGGGGGAAAGGCACAGCCACCAGTGGAAAACTTATTTGAACAAATAATAAAGGAGAATTTCCCCAATCTGGCAAAGGAAATAGACTTCCAGGAAATCCAGGAAGCTCAGAGAGTACCAAAGAAGTTGGACCCAAGAAGGAACACACCAAGGCACATCATAATTACATTAGCCAAAATTAAAATGAAGGACAGAATCCTAGAAGCAGCAAGAGCTAAGGGGACAGTCACCTACAAAGGAGTCCCCATCAGACTGTCAGCTGATTTCTCAAAAGAGACCTTGCAGGCAAGAAGGGGCTGGAAAGAGGTATTCCAAGTCATGAAATCCAAAGACCTACAACCAAGATTGCTCTATCCAGCAAAACTTTCATTTAGAATAGAAGGACAGATAAAGTGCTTCTCAGATAAGATCAAATTCAAGGAGTTCATCATCACCAAGCCCTTATTATATGAAATGTTAAAGGGACTTATCTAAGGAAAAGAAGTTAAAGAAACATGAACAGTGAAAGGACAACAAACTCACAGTTATTAACAACCACACCTAAAACGAAAGCAAACTAAAAGGACAGCTAGATCAGGAGTGGAAACATAGAAATGAAGATCTCAAGGAGGGTTAGCAACAGGGGAGTGGGAGAAGGATAAGGGGGGAGAAGGTACAGAAAATAAGTAGCATAGACAGTAGATAGAAAATAGATGGGGGGGGCAAGAATAGCATGGGAAATATAGAATCTAAAGGACTTGAGACACATGGTCATAAACTAAAGGGGGGGGTAATGGTGGGGATGGGGGGGTAGGGTGGAGGGGAATTAAAGGGGGAATAGAACAACTGTAACAGCATAATCAATAAAAAATTAAAAAAAATAAAAATAAAAACAACTCGAAAAAGTATAATGTAAAGTAGGCTAGGCTACCAAAGTTAATAATATTATTTAATTTATGTTTTATAACATTCTAGATTTGTTTTTATTTTACTTAATTTATATTCTATAAAGGGTTAAAATTTTCAACAAATGAAAGTGGGTATACTTAACCAAAATTTTAACCAGGTTTTCCAATGAAGAGAAATTTGTTGATGGGTAAAAAAAGAGAAAGAGACATTTCTAGAACTTCAAAATACATTTAAAATAGGCCTCTTATAAATTGTCTTAATTTCCCCATAAGGAATATTTTTATAGCAAGAACATATGTTTTTACCTACCATATTTATACTGAATTCTAGTCTGCTCAAACTCAGGATGAATAAAACATACCTTAATATCTACAAATATTTTAAATGGTTGGTTGGGATTGTTAAAGATTTTAATGTATGAAAATATAGTTGTGTCTCAACATACTTTAATGAAGTATAAATAGAAAAACTGGAAATGTCCCATATATGTCCAGTCCCAGGGTGGAAATTGCCTTGCTGTACTGGGAGGTTGTTGATGTTTCTAGAAAAAGTCTCATTTAAATTGATGAAGCAGATGAATGGGTGAATGATAGGGGGAGTTACTCTAAGATTCAACTTAAAAAACCAAAGATCTGAATTAATGTAGATTGCTTTGGTATACACTAAAGCTTATTTATTTCAAACACCTCATATTGATGGCTAAAAGGTGATTCCATGTTTAGAAATGACCATTTTCAGATTTATTCTAGTTGGAGTCTTTAAGGTGTTTTTCAATAGGTCTTAAGTTATGAAGGCAACTTCATTATCTTCAACATGAAAGCAATTAGTGGCAAACAGTTCAAAATAGTGGTTATTGTAATAGTTTTGACATGGAGAGATATTTACTGCTTGCAATTTGAATGTGGATGATGGTCTTCATAGTAGGGTTTCATTCAAACAAAATAAGATTCCTCTGTGAGGAGCTAAAAAAAACCAAAACCAATGACTATGCTATTTGCTTAAGAGATAGGACCAAAATCTCTCTTCTCATAGTATCTAATTTTTTAATCATACTAAAAAATATTAAGGGAATAATAAGGGGATTGGTGAATTTTAGATATCAAAGTTAAGGGCTTCAGTTTCCATACCGAGAATTTTTTTCATGATTCTCTTTCAGATGTTAACATCATCTCAAGCAAAACAGATGTACCTTAAACCAAAAGTTGATCATTTTGCTTTTTCCTTTTGATCCCGTTTTTCTTTGTATGTATAGATAAAAATGAAGGTATTGATAAGTGCCATGTATATTAGACTTTTAAGTTTCTTTTATAAGTAAAATATTATGATGGTAAAATTTTGTATCAGTTCATGTTTAGTTATATTTTTGTCATAATTTTGCATTAGAACATCACTGCATTCTTTCTTTTTTTGTTAGATACACACCAGTCCATGTTTTTATCAGTCTTCTGAGAAGAGCCAGTTCTTACCATTAAAGACAAATCTTTGGCACTGGTTGAATCCTGGAGATAGTTTTTCTTTATTAGTTGACAAATATGCTTTCCGTGTTATCTCTACATATTCCGAAACAGAATTGGACTCTACTTTAAGGTAAGAATGCCTGATGCAATGAGATTCTGTAATGGTATTTGTAATTGAATTTCTTAGTCATGCACAAATGCTTCCATAGAAACCATTCTAGCATTAACTATACTGGTGATATAGGAGTTATGTGGTGTGTGTGTATGTGAGTGTGTTTCTAGAAAATAGTTGGCTTTGGAAACACATGCCTCAGTCATGATTGTTCCCATATGTGGTGTCTTTCCCCATTATTTTCCATCTAACTGTAACCAGGATAGTTAATTTTAAACTGACTACATTTTCTTAATCTTTTTGTTACATTTTAAAATTTTATAAAAGTATTAACCTCAGGTTTAGACTAAAATTGTGTAACTTCTCTTTCTTATAAAAATAACAAAATATAGAATAGGGAAACTGAGGAAATGAGGTAGTACATTAAACATCTGGTATAAAGTTAAAATTAATACACTACTTTTGTTGAGGCAGTCATTAGCAGATTGTTGGCCTTTGTTTCAGCTTTTAAATTCTAGAATACATAAACTGGACCTATAGAAATAGATGGACAAAATTATAGAGTATGTTCTCTAGTTGCTCTGGTATTAAATTAAAAATCAGTAATAACAAATATTTAGAAAAATATCCAAATATTTCCAAATTAAACAACACATTCCTAAATAACTCATGGATCTAAGAAAATCATAAGGGCAATAGGAAATGTTTTGAATGGAATAATACTAAAAACACAACATAAAAATGTGTGAAATTCAACTAAAGTAGTCCTTAGAGGGAAATAAAATCAATAATTTATGCTTCTACTTTAAGAAGATAGACAGGAGCAAATTAATCCTGTAGTAGACCAAAAAAAAAAAAAAAGGAAATAAGGAGAATGAGCCTAAAAATCAATGAAATCAAAAATAGACAAATAAAAATTAACAAAAACCAAACATTGGTTCTTTGAAAGATCAATAAAATTAGGATAACCTTATCAAGGCTTACCAATAAAAAAAAACTAGAAGACACAAATTATCAATATCAATAATGGAAGAGGGGATATCATTACTGATCCTGCACACCTTAAAAGAATAATTAAAAATAGTTAAAACTTAATTCCAGTAAATTTGACAGCCTAAGTGAATGGATTCATTCTTTGAAAAACATAGTTTACCAAAACTGATACAGGAAGAAACAGAAAGTCTGATGAATCCCGTGTCCATTAAAGATACTGAGTTTACAAGTTAAGGATGTCCCATAAGGAAGTTAACTAGTGGATTCTCTTTAACTTTCAGGAAAGAATACCAATATTACACCTTTTCACCCCAAAAGGGAAAGGGGATCCTTCCTCATTAATTTTATGAAGATTAATCTTAATTCTGATATCAAAATTAGATAAGAACATTATAAGAATATAAAATATAGACATATATTTCTTATAATAACATTACAAATCAAATCCAGTAATGTATAAAAAGCATAATACATGTTGACCAAATGGAATTTTTCCAAAAAAATGCAAGGGTGGATTTATCATATAAAAATCACTCAACTAGCCATTGATACAATTCACTATTACAGATGAAAGAACTATCAATGGATGCATAAAAATAATTTTGACAGATAACTGTTGATAACTAAAAATAAAACACCTTTCTACAAAGTAATTTTTTTCCTATGAGAAACTCATATTCAGTAATGAAATATTGGAAGTTCTTTCCCTAAGACTGGGAACCAAAGATGTCTATTTGCACACCTTTTATTCATCATTTACTGGAGGTTCTAGCTAGTTCAGTAAGGCAAGAAAAAGAAATGAAATGGGTAATAATGGAAAGGAACTAGTAAAACTGTTCTTATTTGCAGATGATGTGATTGTATACTATGAAAATCCTGAGGAATCTACCAAAGAAGCAAGACACAAAACTACCTACTATATGATTACACTGATATTCCATAATAAGCAAACTAATCTATACTGGTAAAATCCAATCAATGGTTATTTCCAGGGGGGTTAACTAGGGAAGGGCACAAGGAAACTTTTTGGGGTGATGGACATGTTCTGTGTTGTGGTAAAGGGTGGTTACGTGGTTGTATGCATTTGTCAAAATTAACCAAACTCTGCACTTCAGATCTGTGCATTTCAGAGTATATAAATTATATCTAAATTTTAAAAATAAGCATTATGCTAAGTTAAATAAGCCAGGCAGTAAAAGATAAATACCATATGATCTCACCTTTAACAGGAAGCTAAACAACAAAACAAACAAGCAAGCAAAATAAAAACAAAGACGCTGAAATAGAGAACAGGGGGACAGTGCCCAGAGGGGAGAGGGGAGGGAATTTCAGGGGAAAAAGGGGAAGGATTTACAGGAACTAGTATAAAGGACACATGGACAACAACTAAAGGGGGTGGAAATGGGAGGGAGGTGGGGAGCGCTGGGGGGTGGGCTGGGATGGGAGTAAAAGACAGAAAACTGTACTTGAACAATAATTAAATTTAAAAAAGTAATATAAAAAAGTAAATGGAAAGAAATTATGTCAGGAAATTGTTTTTTATTTTGGTTAAATGATTTCAGTAACCATGGCTTGCCATTTTAAAATACAGATCTTACTCTTTTTTCTCTTATCACACATGTATAAAGAATGTTATTTTTGGCCGGTGTATCCCTCCTCACCATGCCCCTCTCCTTTCTTGGAGCGTGAATAAGAACTTTATTCTCTACACTTTGTTCTCTTCGTGAATTCTTTCACAGCCCACGTCACCAACCACCCAACAGAACCCTCAACCTTAACTTAGTGGATGATGCTCTAACCAACTAAGCTATCCAGCCAGGGCTTTTGTTTTTTTTTTAACTGATTTGAGAAAGAGAGAGGAAGGGAAAGACAGATGGAGAGAGAGGAGGGGAGAGAGAGGAGAGAGATCATTTAATGAATTTTTACAAAACAAGACATAGTAGATTTTCAAGACCTGAGAACTTTTCCTCATGCTCCTTTCTATGCAATATACTTCAAACACTCACAGCGAAGCCCTTTTCTGATTTCTGTCATCACAAATGTGTTTTACCTGTTTTGGACTTCATATAAATAGAATCATATAGTGTGTATTCTTTTCCAGCTACTTTCCTTTGCTCCACACAACTGAGTAAAATAAACCATTGCTACATCTTGTCATGATGCATAGTTTCGTGCCAGGTAGGTGAATGCTCTGTAACCAATTTCTGTGTCAGTCTCATGTGATGCATCTGATTGGCATAATTTATCCTACATATCTACAACCAGCATTAGGGAAACTTGGAATTATGTTTGAATTCTTCATTAAGATGAAAGATTTCTACCATGGGTAACTATCAAAACATGAAGAAGTTATTCAAAACATTCTGATTAGTCACAAATGACACATATCTGCTACCTACCAAGTCCTTCAGTAAAGCCTAAAAACTTGTATAATGGTTAGTTGTGGTGGTGTGGGGAATAAAGGGAAAAGAGAAGGTAAGTGAAGAGATGCTCAGGCAGAGGGAATCACATGCTACTGACGGCCTCTGCCTAAGAAGCCCAGAGACTAGAACTAGTCACTTTGCGTGGTTGGTGTGCAACCCTGAGCGGCAGAGAGCACACATGATTCCATTTTCAACGTAAGAAACATTCAGACGTGTAGAGAATTTTTGGTGAGTTTATTTGAGCCAAACTGACCACAACTGCTGGGAAGCAACATCTCAAAAGACTGAGAAATGTTCTTGAGAATGGCAGTTTAGCACTTGATCTTATACATTAGAATCAAAGAAAGAGCCATAAGGGGGTTACATGAAATCCTTTGGTGATAGATTAGGGGAGGCAGGAGAAAGCAAAGCAGGGAAAACAGAACAAAACAAAATGCTATTTTTTAACCATCTGCTGACATGAAAAATAGAGAAACTAATATTTTTGTTATCATAAATTCCCATAATAGAATTATATACTTTTTTGAAAATCAGGAAAATTCTGTCTATTTCTGTGAAACAAAGTATGGTCATTGCCTGATAATTTATTTATATTATTATATGTTAATTTTAATTTTATGTATATCTTTCCAAATTAGCTTATCCCCTTGGCATGAAGGATTACTTAGATCAGATTGTGCCCCAGTGAATTGTGAATTTTTTTTAGTATTGATAAAACTGAAAATACAGCCCACCTGAAGAATGCTGTACTTCTTTTCAGAGTATTTATTATGAGGAATGTTATCTGGTGTGTAACTGCTGCTGAGCCAAACATGTTGAAAGAGGTAGTAATGTTTTGATAATTGTGTGCCAAGTTCAGGGTAATCAAATTAATTGTGTTTTTATATTAAAAACTAAATGTTTTGTTTTTAGCTTGCTAGTATAAAATTTCCTTCAGGGGGTTGATTTCACTCTCAGCACTTTTTAAGTTTGTGATTTTGAGTTTTCAAATACTCCTATAATGACAGAATGATTTCTGATATGTAGTAATCATTTTCATTATTTTCACTTCTGTCTCTGTCAGTCATATAATAACCATAGTTTAAAGACCATTTTCCTAAAGATCAGTTTAACTATAATAGCTAATTTTAATTGAAGATATTTATCATATATGCATCATTCAATATACAAGGTCTATCCAGAAGGTATCCAGCCATGTACTATGAAAAATAGATATGTAATATGAAAAATAGAGGCATTTATTGAAGAAGATACAAGAAACATTGTACATAGGATAATGATGCCTCAGTCCCCTTCCAAGTAGGCACCTTGGGACCCTCACAGTTCCCCTAATCACCCTCAACTTCCCTGTAGTATTTTCCTGAATCTCATGGATGATCTGAAATCTCTTCCCTTTCAAGGGTGATTTTAGTTTGGGAAAAAGCCAGAAGTTGCAGGGTGCCAAATCTGGGCTGTAGGGGGGCTGAGTCACCTGGGTGATTTGATGTTTTACCAAAAGTTGTGCACGAGATGCGATGCATGAGTGGGCGCGTTGTTATAATGAAGCTGCCAATCACCAGTTGTCCATAGCTTTCTGAATCATCCAGATAGTTTCCACTGAGGACTGTGCAGGCTTGATGCAGAATATGATGCAGATTTGTTGCTCTACCCGCTCATCTTGAATGCAGTGGCCACACAGTACACATGCTCACTCAGTGGCATCTACTGCCCCCACTCACTAGTACAGTGAAGTCATTGTTGTTCACACATGTGCATTCCAGTCCACTCTTCTTGGCTGTCATCAATGTCACACAAACTGTTCTTGTTATATTAACCACTGTTGGACATTTTCAGGACAGACCTTGTATCATTCAAAGCATGTAGCCCTCCCTTTTAAGCATTTTGGCAATATTTTATTCATTTAAGGATTTTTTTGCTTTCACTGGTTAATCATTTAACTTTTGAATAGGCAGAATAAAGATATATTGAAGATACTCAATACTTTCTGAAAAGGAGCTATGTATTAGAATATAGTTTGACAAACTGTCTTTGTAATTATTTTAGGCTTTGTAGACCATATGATCTATGTTCTAATAACTCAAATCTGCTGTTCTCCTGTTTCAGTAGCACTTTATTTACAAGAATAGGTAGCAGGTTGGATTTGGACTGTTGTAGTTTGCTGATACCCGTACTAAAGCAAAAGCTAAGTTGCTTAATAAAATGACCCCCAAATGCAGTGTTTAAACAAGAATGCGTATTTTTCTGCGTCATAATAGTCCAGAGTTGTAGGAGTGCTCTCCTTCATAATGTAATTCACACACTCCAGCTAATGGAGTAGCTCTATCATCCTCAATATATAGCTTCCAGATTAGCTTCATCTTTGGTGTTCTTAATTGGTAGGAAGGAAATGAAGAGGAGAATCTAGGACAAGTGTGTTGTACATATCACTTCCATTTACACTCCCGAGAAAAAAGAATTAGGCTCTTGACTACACAGAGTTGCAAGGAAAGCTGAAAACTGCGGTCTCCAGCTAGGTGGTCAGACATCGGTACAGATGCTTATTGGTCAGTGCCATTCCAGCTTGCTGTCCATTACGCCAGTAACATCCACTTAGCCTCTGATAGGTAATGCTAACCACCTGGCCTGTACAGTTCTAGAATCCTGCCATCCCCATTGCTAATAAGGAGCCCCGTGTTTTGGCAGCCTCCCCTGCCTCCAGCACAGACCTATAGAGGCAGCTACTCTTGAGCTCCTCAGCACTGCCTCACTAGTGTATACCTTCTTGCTTATTGTCTGGGTCCTTCTGAGGAACGTAGTCAGCTAGTGGATTCTCTAAGGGCTCGTGGACATGCACAACAGTGTGGTGGGTGCAGGGGCAGGGGTGTTAAATGATAATGGGAGAAAAATGCAAAAAGATTGAAAAGTAAATCTATTTTAGCATGCCTACCTCTTGGTGGTAGCAATCAACTATCTGTATAGTTCCCCTCACTCTCTCTCTAGCCCCTGGCAACCACTGGTTTGATTTCTGTCCCTGTAGCTTAGCATCTTCAGAATGTCATGTAAATGGAATCATATGATATATAGCCCGTTAAGTATGTAGCTTCTTTGACTTTGCAAAATGCCTTTGAGATGCATCCATGTCCTAGTACATACCAGCAGTTAACTCCGTTTTAACTCAAAATAGTATTTTTACACTAAATTTCAAATTTTCAAAAAGATATATTTGTTGGGTCATCTCTCTGCCTACCTAAGTAATAATGGTGCAACAACTTTGCATGATCTTACTGCAATTTGTAGCAAGCGGAAAGTAATTGACTTGGCTTGTATGTTCCACATGTGATCATGTCCTGCTTCAGAACATTTAGCTTCTGGTCAGGACACAAGTCTGGGGAGATTGCACAAGTGGCTCTCCTGCCGGGCCCCTAGAGCAGCTGTGTAGGAACTCGACATCAGGATTTTACTTATTTTATTTTTCAAGAGCTTAACTTAGCTGGTGTACTTTCAGTTGTATTATCTCTTTGGACACTGTGTGGTGTCCTTAACTTTATGGACTATCTGGACAAATATTGAATTAAATGAGTAAATAGCTCTTAAGCCTTGACAGAGATGGCTGCTCCTCATCTCATCAATAGCTGTGGTTTTTAGGCCCATGATTTGGAAAGATTAATGTATTTTATGGCGACACTGTGGTCAGAAGTGGAAGAACATATTCTAGCCTATACATTTTGTTCTATTATACTATAATCTGCTTTTTTTGTTTTGCTAAGTCTGAGAAAAGTAGCATAACTCATTAGATGACTCATTAGTAGACATAACTCCCAAGTGGGAGACTCACATTTATAATGGCATGGTAGGCAACAGAAGTGTTTTAAATTTAAATGACGAATTGGTTATTTTGTTTTATAGAAACAGCCAAGTGCTCGATGCAGATGACATGCTGAATGAAACACCAGAATCGTCCTCGATGAATTTGCCTGATGAGAAAAGTGGTGCCCCACAGCTGGAAAGAAGCGCAGAGGTAGCAGCAGCTCAGACTTCTACCACAAAGCATGCGGCCAGAAATTGAAGATATCATCCATTTGCAACATGTTCCTTAAGTTGTTTTGGGGAGAGAAAAGACAACCGAAATTAGACATATTAAAACAGTATTTGCTAGCATTTCTTCCACTTTTGCTCTTTTTAAGTTACACTCTAAAGGATATCACACTACCAGGGGTGTCAAACTCATTTTCACCAGGGGCCACATCAGCCTCGAAGTTGCCTTCAAGGGCCAAATGTAATTTTAGAACTGCATAAATGTAACTACTACTTAACTAGGGGCAAGGAGCTCGGCACTGCTGCTGGGTAGAAACAAGTGCCCCGTGGATGAAACAAGGTGGAGGGCGGATCCGGCCTGCGGGCCTTGTGTTTGCCACCTGTGCTCTAGACCGACACTTCCACTAGTGCAGATCATGAACTTCTGTCTTTGAGAAATTTGACTAACTCAGTCCACAGTTGCAGATGGTTTTTTTCATGGTAGTTTTCTACAAAGTAAATAATTTTACAGTTTTTATAAGGATGCATGCTTATTTTTAGTAATTAATAAAATAGGTCTCTTTTTAGTCTTTCCTAGGTGAATGTTCAGACTTCAGGAAGCAGCAGTTAAACCCTGCCCAGAGGAAAAGAATCCTTCCAGCGTGGATGTTAACAGAAAATCTAGGTGATTAAAACCTTTCAGCACCAGTTATCAGTGGAAATAGATTTCGTTTCAAGAAAACATTAAGTAGAATTTGAAAGTTTTTCTGAACAAATGGAGGTAGAATGGTAGTTGTGTAAGTGTATGACTTAGCCTGCCTTTTTTTTCAGTTGTGTACATGATGTCTAATTTAAAACACAGGCTATTATTTTATGCCATTTATCAAACATCCTGCTAATTATTTTTTGATTTAACAAGTGTTAGACTTAACAATATTAACATAGACTTTCAAAGGAACCTGTTAGTGTTGTGTCTAAGATAAAAGGTCGGCACAGTACTTGCTTTATAAGTTAATATAATTAAATAAAAAGTGCCAGGCTCACAAGGTTCCGTGCTGGAGAATTAAAAGAAGAGGTGACCTGTCCTAGTATATACCTCACTGTCATGGCAGATATCACAGCGGTTTATGTCATCTGCTGGGTATTACCATCAACTCAAGATTGTTAAAAAGTTTTCCACATTGTCTTATTTAGTCAGCATTTTGTTTGCAACTTTTCAGTCATCTCGGGTTCAGTTTCTTTTGGTTGCTTGTTTTCTTTTATACGGTTTACATTTTCCCCATTCATTCTCTTGCTTACTGACTTTCTATTGGAAATTGGATGTTATGGATGTGTTGGAGAGCCTTTTGATTTTCTGTTCCTCTGAATAAATATCTTGGTTCTAATAGGCAATTAATTTGGCCTGATAGGCAACTTCTTCTAGTGGGCAGTTCATTCGAGTGCTAGGCTCTTTTCCTATGCGGGCAGCAGCCGTCGTCTCTGCTTAGTTCTTTTAGCTTCTCAGCACTGTTCTTTCTCTGGGCTCGGGTCTCTCCCCCACCCACATGTAGTCAAGCAAAGGTTTGGGTTCATTTTATGCATTGGTCTTGGTTCTTGGCTCCCTGCGGCTTTCTTCCTGTCAGAATTTTATTCCTAACTTTCCACCCACTCCACGAGCCTCAAACTCTGTCCTCTGACCAGTTAAGCCGGTCAGGTTGCAGCGTTTTGCTGTCCTTGGATTAGGGATGCTCTCAGGGACAGAGCTCAGATTCACAGGCCTCACAGGATGTAGTGAATTTCTCAAGGTTAGAGTCTTCTCTAGTTTTGCCTTTCGGGTCGCTCTTTAGTGCATTCAAATATATATATTTTTAATATTTTGTCCAAAATTTATAATGGTTTTGTTTGGGATGATTAGTTTATTCAAGCTACTTTTTCATTTTACTTTGAACATTATCTTTTATAAATTGTATATTTTATATATATTTTAGTTGATATCTTACTACTTTTACTGTTTTTAATATTCAGCACAGTGGTCACAGAAGTCTTCCAAAGTTTTAAGCAAGTATGTTATGGACAGAATAGTCCCCATTTAATTCTACTTTAGATTATAGGAGGATCAGAGTGATCTTGTAGGACAAATAGGTTTTATATTATAATGAGGTACATGTGATTTAATCAGGAGAATTTTCATATCTAAACCTAAAATTTCCTGCAAGAATTCTATTTCATTGTAGTGGTTTTCAATTCCCCATCGTTATATGTATAACATATTTTCATATGTAACATTACTCATTAATAGGATAATGCTCAATTTGCAGGAAGGTAATGGCAAATTGGGGATGGTAGTGGACAGGGAGCGGGCACTTTCCTTCAGTAGAAGCGTTTCTGTAATAGGGACTAACTTTACTTGACCAAAATTGGACTACCTCCCTGCAAACAAGTTCTTGTATTTCACAGTTATTTTGTACTGTAATTGCTTCTGTGCTACAACTATTACATACTTACAACAGTCCAAGATATATTTTGCTTCAAATTATAAATAGCTATTAACTTTCACTTGATAGATGTACCACATAAAATATGAAGCACATTTTGGGGCTCTTCACCTTGAAAATACAAATGAGAGTAATTTGACATTCATTTGGATGAGCATATTATATAGTACATAATGTACTTAAAATGCAAAAGCTTCAAAATAACATAGAAAAGTCTTTGGATTCAAGTATATCTTCTTCTTATAAATTTAGACTTTGGGAGAGAATTTTTAAAAGCAAAGTTAGGTATTGAATTTATTTAAAGACAGGAAGATTCCAAAGTCAATTAGCACTTGAAGTTAGTACCAATTAAAAGTTGGAATAATTTCTATTTTTCTGTAATGTAGTTTTATTTAATTGTTATTGTTTTGTTTGTTTAAATAATGTATCATCCAGGTCAAGAGACCAATGCTAGTTATTTGTTAAAATCCATATGTAGGATTCATTTTAGGCTTGTTATAAATATAGGGGTTTTTTAAATGTCTTTTGCAGCCTTACTATACTGTGTTCATTGATAATTTATTTAGATCATCTGAAACCAACTTGATATTTTGGAGCCTCTGCATCATACAGGACAGATAACATTAACTGATGTTTAATGACTTATCCAAGATTAGGTAATAAATGCCGGAGCTGTAACTGAGACCTAGCTCTGCCTGTCTCTAAGGCCCTTGCATTGAACTGTGTTACTGCTATACAGTCACCCAAATTTATTCTCTATAGCTGGGGTGTCAAACTCACTTTTGCCGGGGGCCACATCAGCCTCAAGTTTGCCTTCAAAGGGCTGAACATAATTTCAGCTCCTTAACAGTTAAGGAGTAGATACTTGTACAGTCCTAAAATTTCATTAGGCCCTTTAAAGGCACCATGAGGCTGATGTGGCCCCGGTGAAAATGATTTGACACCCCTGCTCTATATGCTCTGGTTTTCTTTTTAAATATGCCCTTGTGTTTTCTTCTGGAACATCTCTCAGTTTAACTCATGGTGTTGGCCTTATAGGTGTGTGAATGTTTGCAGTGATCAGGCTATCCTACTGCTTTGTTTTGTTTTGTTTTAATTTTATTGTTCTTCAAGTACAGTGTTCTGCCTTTTCCCCCTACTTCCCTCCCCTGATTCCACCCACCCTCGGTTTTGTCCATGTGTCCTTTATAGTCCTTCCTCAAAACCCTTCACCCTTTTCCCTCCTTTATCCCCTCCCATCTCCCTCTGGTTACTGTCCATTTGTTCTTAATTTCTGTGTCTCTGGTTATATTTTGCTTTGCTCGTTTGTTTTGTTGATTAGGCTATCCTACTGTTATTAAAGTTTAGTTTCTAGTTTTTTAGTTTTATAGTTTATCCTACTGTTATTCAAGTTCATATTCTAGCTTATTTTATTTTCTGAGTCCCCAGGTACTAGTCCTTGGACGTTATCATCAGTTTTTCAGGCCTAGGATAATGTTTTCTCTGTTTCTCAGTGATTGGAAGTGAGTATATTTGGGCAGAAGCTATCAAGCCTCCCCTTCCTTGACTCCCTTTTCTCTCTGTTCCCTCTGCCTTCTAGGCCCCATGACAAGTTATACATAACTCCTGGGTCATGGCGCTCTTGCTAGATGGAAAAAGGAGCTTTTAGATTTTCACTGGTACTATGTTACTGTGTGGTACTCTTATTTTCCCATCCTCTAACTTTTCAACACAGAGTCGTGAAAAGGAGAACATGCTGATAAAGGTTGAAGTAGTAGGTAGTCCCCAAACCATTTGGTTTGCATTTAATTTAGTGTTCTGAATATTTTGCTCTGTAACAACTCAATACAAATTACAAATATTGAACTGACTTCATTTACGTAATTTGAGTGTAGTTGAAAAGTTACTTAAAGTGCTAGTTATTCTTTTTTAATGTATTTTATCAATTATGCTCCTACTATTGTCCCAATTTTTCCCCCTTTGTCCCCCCTCCATCAGGAACCCCCCATCCCTGGCAATCCCCCATCTTAGTTCATTCCATGGGTCATGCATATAAGTTCTTTGGTTTCTCCATTTCCTATACTGTTCTTTTTTCCCCCATAAATTACTTTATTGTTGTTCAATTACGGTTGTCTGCATTTTCTCCCCACCACTTCCCCCACCCCATCCAAACCCATCTTTCTATACTATTCTTAACAACCCCATCTATTCTGTACCTACAAATTTGTTTCCTAATCCCTGCACCTTTCCCCCTGCTCTCCCCCTTACCCCTCCCAACTAGTAACCCTCCAGAAGATCTCCATATTTATGATTCTGTTTCTGTTCTGCTTGTTTCCTTAGTTTGTTATTTTAATTCAGTTGCCAATAGCTGTGAATTTATTGCCATTTTAATATTCATAGTATTGATCTTACTCTTTTTCTTAAAAAAGTCCCTTTAACATTTCATATAATAATGTCTTGGTGATGATGAATTCCTTTAGCTTTACATATTTACTTTATTTCCAGTAATGCTGCTAAATGATCTGATTAATTCAAATAGTTTTTAGCCTTTTTTATTTTCTAGCTGTATAATCATATCTACAGAGTTATGATACTTTTAGCTCTTTTGATTTGTACTGCTTCCTAAATTTTTCTTATTGCATGAGCTAGAACCTATAAGTTTTGTTTTTTATTATATTGTATTGATTATGCTATTACATTGTCCTGATTTTTCCCCCTTTGCTCCCCTCCACCCAGCACCCCCCACTCCTTCAGGTAGTTCCCCCCACAATTGTTCACATACATGGGTCATACATATAAGTTCTTCCACTACTCCATTTTCTATGCTATACTTTACATCCCATGGCTATTCCATAACTACCTATTTGTACTTCTCAATTCCTTCACCTCTTTACCCATTACTCCACACCCTGCCTCCCATCTGGCAATCATCAAAACTCTCTCTGAATCCATGATTCTGTTATCATAGGAGTGCCAGAAGGAAAAGAGAAAGAGCAAGAAATTGGAAATCTATTTGAAAAAATAATGGAAGAAAACTTCCCTAATTTGGTGAAGGAAATAGACATGCAAGTCCAGAAAGCACAGAGAGTCCCAAACAAGATGAATGCAAAGAGGCCCACTCTAAGACACATCATAATTAAAATGCCAAATGTTAGAGATAAAGAGAGAATCTTAAAAGCAGGAAGAGAAAAGCAGTTAGTTACCTACAGGGGAGTTCCCATGAGACTGTCAGATGATTTCTCAAAAGAAACTTTGCAGGCTAGAGGGTATTAGCAAGAAATATTCGAAGTCATGAATAGCAGGAACCTACAGCCAAGGTTGCTCTATCCAGCAAAGCTATCATTTACAATCAAAGGGCAGATAAAGTGCTTCCCAGACAAGAAAGAACTAAAGGAGTTCATCATCACCAAATCATTAGAATATGAAATGTTAAAGGGGCTCCTTTATGAAAAAAAAAGATCAACACTATGAACAGTAAAACGGAAATAAATATAAATCTATCACCAATCTAAAAAAACTAAGCAAACTAGAAGAACAGAGACAGAATCATGGATACAGAGTGTTTTGATAGTTGCAAAACCATCAAATGGAAGGTTTCCATCTGATGGTTGTTACAACCATCAGATGGGAGGCAGGGTGTGGGGAATGGGTGAAGAGGCAAGAAGATTAAGAATTATAAATAGGTAGTTACAGAATAGCCATGGGAATGTAAAGTACAGTATAGGAAATGGAGTACCAGAAGAACTTATATGCATAACCCATGGACGTAAACAATGGTGGGGGGAACTACCTGAAGGAGTGAAGGGTGCTGGGTGGAGGGGAGCAAAGGGGGAAAATCAGGACAACTTTAATAGCATAATCAGTAAAATATACTTTTAAAAAAGAATAAGTAAAAATAGTTAATAAATATATAATTTCTGTAAGATAGGAAAATGTAAAATGAAACAACCAGATACCATTTTTTGTTCACTAAACTCCTCAAAATCTAAGCAGTTGATAAAACCAGTGCTGACAGAAATGGATATCACTGAACATAGTAGGTGGAGGTATAAGTTGGTATGCTTTTTAAGTTTATTTGCCAGCGTCTCTTAAATTTCTAAATACACAACATACTTTGATCCAGAAATACAATTCTAGGTATTTAGCCCACAGAAATAATAGCATTTATTATTTAACCCTATTCTGTATTTATAAATATATATTTGTAGATATGTTTCATTAAACTAGGAAAAAGTTGAGAAGGATACACATCAGATTGTTAATGTAATTGTTAAGAGTGGTTCCTTTGGAGTTAAAATTGAAAGGACACGATTTTAATGACCTGTGTGTGCATACAGTTAAGCTGTCATTCACATAGTGTCACTGTAACCGCTCATATAAGTAAATACAGTTAGTAATAGTTAAACTAAAGACAATAAACTGATTTGTTTTAATAGTTCATTTCTTTTATATTTCTATCATTTAATTGTACATTTCCTGGATTTAGAAAAAAATTAAATATCCAGATACAAAGATTGTTATGAGCCAATTAACTTATTTTTTATGTACTCTTTGTAAAAAGCATTCTAACAACACTATCAAAATGGCTTTTTCTAATGCAAAGGAGGCTAGTTCTGGTCCCTAGAATGAATACTTTTACTGGACAACTTGGAATTTTAAAGAGTTGAATATTTTAAATGTAGATATTTTAATTTTAGAATTTTATATGCATATTGACACTTGGAATGTGGCACACTGCCATTTGGGCAGAAACTCAGTCCTATTTAATTTACATTTTTAGTTTTTATCATAGTAAGCAATACCAGAGTTGGCTATTTCCATTGGTTTGACTAATTCATAACTGTTGGAGCATTTGGTCATTTGTTTCACCAAGCTGTACAGTCCTATTTAGCTCTATTTCTTCTTTTAAGTATATTTTGTTGATTATGCTACTACAGTTGTCCCAATTTTTTCTCCTCTTTCTCCTTCTCCTCCCTGCACTGCCCCTCCACCCTCCAGCATTCTCTCCCCACAAAGTTCACGTCCATGGGTTGTACATACAAGTTCTTTGGCTTCTCCATTTCCTATACTGTTCTTAACCTACCCATCTATTTTGTGCCTACCTATTCTGCTTCTTATTTGCTGTACTTTCCCCCCCATTCTCCTCTTCCTCCTTCCCATTGATAACCCTCCATGTGAGCTCCATTTCTGTGATTCTGTTCCTGTTCTAGTTGTTTGCTTAGTTTGTTTTTGTTTTTGTCTTTTAGGTTCAGTTGTTGATAGATGTGAGTTTGTTGTCATTTTACGGTTCATAGTTTTTGATCTTCTATTTCTTAGATAAGTCTTTTTAACATTTCATATAATAAGGGCTTGGTGATGATGAACTCCTTTAACTTGACTTTATCTGAGAAGTACTTTATCTGCCCTTCCATTCTAAATGAAAGCTTTGCTGGATAGAGTAACCTTGGATGCAGGTCCTTGCCTGTCATGACTTGAAATACTTCTTTCTAGCCCCTTCTTGCCTGCAAGGTTTCTTCTGAAAAATCAGCTGATAGCCTTATGGACACTCCTTTGTAGGTAACTGTCTCCTTTTCTCTTTCTGCTTTTAAGATTCTCTCCTTATCTTTAATCTTGTGTAACTTAATTATGTGTTTTGGTGTGCTCCTCCTTGGGTCCAACTTCACTGGGACTCTGTGGACTTCCTGGAAGTGTATTTGCTTCACCAGATTGAGGAAGTTTTCCTTCATTATTTGTTCAAATAAGTTTTCAATTTCTTCCTCTTGTTCTCCTTCTGGTACTTTCATGATTCAGCTGTTGGAACATTTAAAGTTGTCCCGTAGGTTCCTAAGCCTCTCCTCATTTTTTTTTGCATTCTTGTTTCTTCATTCTGATTTGGTTGGATGATTATTTCTTCCTTCTGTACTAAATCACTGATTTGAGTCCTTGTTCCTTCACTGTTGATTCCTTGTACATTTTCCTTAATTTCTCTTTGTGTAGCCTTCATTTCTTTTTTTATTTTGCAACTGAGCTCAATCAGTTCTGTGAGCATCCTGATTACCAGTGTTTTGAGCTCTGCATCAGACAGATTGTCTATCTCCTCGTTGCTGAGTTCTTTTTTTGGAGTTTTGATCTGTTTTTTCATTTGGGCTATATTTCTCTCTCTTGCAGCACTGTCTGGATGAATGTTTTTTTAAGTCCTTGGTTGTTGGACTTCAATGCAGATGTTTTTCTGGCAGTTCTGGTTGCTCTTTGTTTTTAAATTGGTTGTCATCTTTCTTTTGGTTGTGCAAGGAAGTGAAGCGCTTCTGCCTGCTCCTCCATATTGTCCAGAAGTCCTTAGTTCTATTTATGACAGTTTCTAAAATGATATGGAATGCTTCTTAATTTAGATTCCAACAAATATTTAAATAATTTAGGTAAAGTTTAGTTTTTAAATAGTTTGTGTATATATTTCCTTTAAAAAATGCATTATTTTTATGTTGGTTCTACTGATTTTCCTATTTAACAATGTGGGTAGTACATATTCTATTAGTGTTTTTAATTGAATTTAATGGAGTATTTTTTCAGGTTATTGAATGTACTTTGGAACAGCTCTGAGCAAACCACAGCCCACGAGCCAAATCCTGCCCACTGCCTGTTTCTGTAAATAAACTTTTATCCGAATACAGCCAAGCCCATCCATGTATGTTTTCTGTGTGGCTGCTTTCACACTACAAAGGCAGAGTTAAGTAGTTGTGACAGATACTAGATGGGCCACTGAGCATTTTAGAGGAAAAGTTTGCTAACCCTTACATTCCAGCATGAGAATAGTGACTGTGGATTTCCTTACATACCCACATCCAGACTCTCAAGGGAATCTTTGGACAAATTCTGTTCATGTTCACAAGTCATGTTAGTTAAACATATTTCTTGAGCACAAGTCTTGCAGTAGGCACAGTTCTAGATACTGGAGACACAAGTTGGTACCAGAACAGTAAAGTGTCTGTCCTTAGGAAGCTATTATTCAAGTACAGGAGAGATGGACAATAACCATGAACTTTATTCTTAAGTAGATCTTTCTTGTTTTCTGATTAGATAGTTCATGAATTTGTTAACAAATTATTATACTGAATTAAGTTTTCTTACTATGTTTGTTGAACCTTGGGAAGTATGACATGGGGTATAGAGTCCACTGTTAGGAAGACTTTATTGTCTTCATCAGTGAAGTTTGTAGAGGTCACTCTCCCTGTTAGGTTATATTGAGTTCTTAATGTGTAAGCTAACTTAAGTTGAATTCCTTACTGTGGCTTGTTAGGGGGCTCAATAAATACTATACATAAAATGCATTGTATAAGCTATATGTCAGATTTTCTGTTAGAGAAATTCAATGCTAAAATAAAAATATATGATAGCTAACATAGATCAGGTACTCTCCTAGAAAATGTATATGTCTTACCTAATCTACTCTATGAGTTATTATCATAATTTCCGTTTTCCGGATGATGAAACCAAAGTTCAGAGAGGTGAGGTGAAACAGTGAGAGGGCGGAGCCTGCCCATGTTAGCACCTTAACTTCGCTGACTCCATGGCTGGAGCTCTTGGCTATTGTTCTGCTTAATACTTTTGTAATTTGCAAATAAGTGTTTTAAAGTTGACATTAGCATAGCTGGAACATTAATTTCACTAACTCCTTTGTCCTTTTTCTTTTGGGGGGTATATATTATTGGCATTTGAAGACAGATACAGGAGATAATATTCTTCTCCTTTTTCTTTGAATATGTGTGCCTATGTGTGTTTAAGATAATGTAGTCCGGGAAAGTGGGAGAGGAGTCTGCAAAGATAAAACCCAAGTAAACATAACACAACAAGGAAGAAAGCGATTAATTTCACCGGGAAGCTCAGAAAGTACGTCTGCAGAGCAAGATGCAGGAAAAAAGTGCAAAAATGCTGATCAGGAAGAGTCTATCGTTTCATCCAAGGTGATTTTTTAAAAAATTCATTATCTGACTGATTTCTTCATCAAGTGTTCTACATAGGAATTAATTATATGTTGTATACAACAAGGAAAGAAAACAAAATTGATTCTCATTAATGAGTTTATAAAGTTTATAAAAACAAATACCATATGATCTCTCCTATTAGTGGAACCTAATCAACAAAACAAACAAATGAGCAAAACAGAACCAGAGACTTGTAAATACAGGACAAACAAACAGTGACCAGATGGGAGTGGGAGAGGGGATAATGGGGGAAAAGGGGGAGCTGCAAGCAAAGAAACACGAATAGAGGACTCATGGGCATGGAGAATGGGAGGGACATTGACTATGGGAGTGGGGAGGGCAGGGCAGGGGAGAGCCATGGGGAAAAAAAGCAGGACAACTGTAACTGAACAACAATAAAAAAAGTTGTAAGACTTACGCTTACTAATTTCAAAGCTGATTAAAAAAACACTAGCCCATATTTTGTTGGCTTACTGACACTAATCTTTAATATAGTATTTGCATTGTAGAAAACAAAGATATTTAATTTAGAAATTTTCTAAATTGACACTACTGTGGTTATAACTGGTACCCCCATTCTGAAAACCTGATTCCCTCCATTTTATTGGCCATTCTCGAATGGCACGTAACCATCTTTTACTCGATTAGTGTGCAGCGAAGAACAACTAATGGGCTGCTTCCTAATAGCCTGTCGCAGGATTACTTCTGAGCTAACTTACGGTGTTTATAAACCTTCTCTTTCAGTTTTTGTTAACTCACTAAATGTTTGGATGACTTACACATTCTTTAATACTGTGTGCTTAAAGAAAATGAGACGTAATTAGATGCATGTAAAAAGAGAGCAAGAGAGAGGGGGGAAAAAAGAAAGGCCCAGAGCCAGAAGGTCAGGTGTTCTTCTCCTTAGTGGAGAGGTGGCTTTAAATGAGTTTTCGTTATCCTGTAGACCTGTGTGTGAGCTCTGTGAGTCCTCATCTTTTTAGTTTCAACGAGAGCCAGAGGAGTAGGGTTAGTTTTAGGATAAAGTGCACTGGGATAATCGAAAGGCCAGTAGCATTCCAGTAGCAGTAATTACTGTCAGGCCTTTTATAGTGCTCACTCCTGCGTCGTCTGCCTTCAGACCGGATTCAGCTTCTCTCTGGTCCTTTCTTCCAGCAGGAGAAGTGGGGTCTGAAAACTGTAGGCTCACCCTCCTGCTTGCTTTCAAAGTTTAATAATAGAAACAAAATGTTTTCTGACTCAGCGCATTGTCCATAAAATCTTATTAAGGTAAACTTAACTAAATGTTTGCATTGTTTACTTTGAGTCCTAATAACATGTTCTACTATCTGAACATGTTAATATAGTTGCTTTTATTTTCCAGAAAGACAGATTTTTTTTCAGAATAAAATCTATAGTATACACGTTTTACTATGTTTATTTCAAACTATTGGTTTGATGATCACAAATAAAAGTTTCAGAAACACCTTCTTAATTGATAGATTGTAGAGAGGAGCAGAAACAGATTCAAAATATCTGAGGTATTTATGAGATTTCGATGACATTGAGGGAGTATTCAGCCAGGTCCCAGGAATGCCTGAGCTCTACTTGGCCAATTGCTTTTCCTTGTCGTAGGGTTTCTGGAGAAACAGGAAAAACAGGGCTCAGGGTTTTCTAACCTTTTCATAACCCTTTCTGCAAAGCTGGGCCAGAGAAGATGACTTGGACTGAGACCCTAGGAGACCTTTCCAAACTCACCCTCCAACCCTACCCAGGTTCAGTCTTAACACGGGCTCACATCTGGTCCCAAAGGGACATCTGCAGGGTGGGAGCAGGTGAGAGGGAAAGTTGAAAAAGAGTGAAAACAGGAGGCTGGGGCTTCCTATTTATGGATTAGTGGCATGAGATTGCCAATTACAAGGGACTGAGAACAGTTTTACCAGGCCTGCAGAGTAGGCTTAGATGGATTTAGTTGGGAAGGATCAATCATATTCTCCTGGGAATGAGTGAGAAAAGAGGTAGAGAGAAGGGGCAGAAATCACCTTCCCCCTCCTGGGCCCTACTCCTGAGATTCTGAATCAGTTGGTCTGTGCAGCCTGTACATTAGTATTATTTTAAATAAACTTTTTCAATTTTAATGTACACTCGAGGTTAAGAGCTACTGATGTACCATCATTCAAAACACCTTGGAGGAAACTGAGACCCAAGAACATATAGCTAGAGACCGTGCACCTCAAACATAGGTCTTTTCATTTTCAATACAGTGGATTTTTCTACCATATCTATTAGGCTGTCTATAAGAGTTTTGTGACTCTAGTAACTTCTGATAATGCAGATAATTGCTCTGAAATAGTCCATTTTTCATTACGTATCTTATGTCTTTCTGCAACTCTTACCAGTTATGTAGTTGTCTCATTTGGGAGTGAAAACGAGCCTGCTGGAACTTACAAACTTTGACAGAAAGAATGGTGTGTCCTGCACTGAGTCTGGTTGGGACCGGGCTGTAAATGACCCAAGGAAGCCTGACTGAATCAACTTCAGCAAGAGTACTATAAAGTGTATCGGCTGGCTGTTGCTGGGAATAAGCCACCCCAGCACTTAGTTGCTTAACACAACAATGATTTATTATTTCTTATAATTCTGTGGGTTAGCTGGGCTCAGCTAGGCAATTCTTTATGACACTTTCAATGTTAGCTTGGCTGCGCTCAGCTGGGAGCTCAGCTGAGGCTGGAGCATCCAGTGTCTTCGCTCACATGCCAGTGCCCCAGCCGGGGCTGGTGGAACGGCTGGGCCTCCCTCCCTCCACTTAACCACAGAGTAGTCTAAACTGAGAGTCTTTGCCTAACATCTGGGAGTGAAAGTAGAAGCTTTCAGGTCTCTTAAGGCCTAGGACTAGAACTGGTACATTATCATTTCTGCTGGGTTCTTTCTGCCAGAGCAGGTTACCATGTCAGCCTACGTTCGGGGGGAAGGGATCAGACTCCACTTGACCAATGGAGTGATTTGTGTATAAAGGAATAGATGAGATTGTTGGCTGCCATCTTTGATGACCATCTACCACACAAAGATATAGGAGTAATTCAGTTCCCAGAATGGACAGAAAGCAGCAGGGACTATATAGATCATAGGGACCAGTCAGGGACTTGGTCAAAATCAGGTTGGACTATGATTTTCCCATTTTTGCCTCTTGAGTCATTATTTACTGCTATTGGCAGGCTTTTTCCACATGGTGTACAACATGGTCACAGGTAGCGTCGGGCTCATGTCATCCAGTTTTTTAAATTAAGAGAGGAAATGAGAGTCTCTCCATGGTTCCTTCAGTGTTAAATTCATGGGACTTGGATTATGGAATCTCCACTTCAACCATTTATAGTGGTCAGAAAGATGAGTTAGTATTATGACTCTTTTTGAGTCATCCATTCATTTTCAACTGAATGAAGGAAAGAGGTCTAGGAAGAAAAATGGTATACATTACACTTTTTTTTGACACTACAGTTCAATTTGGATAAATTCAGAGAGGAGGAAAAGAACAGGTTGTTTTCTTAGGTTGGTCAAGATCAACCTAACCAATGAGGAGGCCTGAAGTACTTGGGAACATTGAGGTACACTGAAAGCAGGGGAGGGGAAAGTCACTTCTTTAACCTCTTTTGAGGGAGGTATTTGATTAGGTGTTGAAGGATAGCTGGCCTCTTAGCAGGTTGAGTTGGCGAGGAGGGATACTGTCAGTGAAGGGCATGGTTTCTGAGCGTGGCACAGAGGTAGGAACCTGGAGCGGTCCATGAATGGGCCTACACGGGAGTGTCTTGTGCACGCAGGCATGGATGTGTGTGTGGGTATGGGTAGGCGCGATCAGGCAAAGAAGTTACAGAACAAATCAGGATGCTGCTTGAAAGCCAGATTAAATAAGAAAGTAGGACTGCATTTCTGGCTTCAGAAACTTTGCAAAAGGTTTTGAGAGTTACGTGGTTCAGCGCATGTAGCAGCAATATGCAAGATGGAGGCAGGAGCTGCCTAAGAAGCAGTCGCAGGATGACTCAGCGAATGAAAACTGAACTAGAATGTTGGCTTTGGGACCAGAAAGAAGTAGAGAGATGGGACAGCCATTTTGAAAACAGAATTAACAAACCTGAAGACTAACAGAATATTGAGGAGGAGATACTGAGAATGTTCTTAGCAGAGGGGAAGCAGTAGATGTGGCAGTTGGGCAAGGGAAGGGGAGGCCTTGGTTTGAGGCAGGGACGGCATAGCTGTGAAAGCCGTCTAATAGACAGACATGAAAGTCTGTCTCACAGGAGAAAAATGAGGGCTGGAGAGTTCTGCTACACCATATTATGTGGGAGCAAACTTACAGATATTTTCAGAGCACATACGGAGGTGGATGCTTCGGCAATGAGAGCCACGTCCACATATCCCGCCCGCTGTGTCCTGCAGCTTTCCCCCGTGACCATAATAGCAGAAGCAAGTAAGCTGGCTGCTAAGTATCTCATTTCTCTACATACAGATGCCTGCTGTGGAGTCTTAACTCATTTTTCTTCATGGAAATAGCAGGGGAGATGAAGACTGTAACACTTATTTGTGCTATTTCTTAAGGAAGGCTATATCCCCTACAGCTCCCATAGTATTGGTTTACTACATCCAGGAATCTTATACCCTTTGCTCCTGATTGGCTACTTGGGGTAGTACCATTTATAGCATAGCTCTGATCAGCCCCATAGAAACACCTTTTTATTTATCACTCATTCATGCACTCAGTAAGCATTCATAAATAGTAACAACATAGTGCCATCAATTATGTTATTAACAACAACAAATAAAACAAACAAAATACAACCATTCTAGGCTAGACCCAGCACTAAGATATACTTATTTTATTTAATTTTTAGAAAATCCTGGAAAGTAGGTTGATTATATATCTAGTTTATAGATTAAGAGACCTGAGATTCTGAGTTTAAATCAACTTGTTCAAGGTTAAAGGTTAAGAGATGGCAAAGCTGATATTCACAATCTGACTTACTTCAAAGAATATTCTAATTATCATTTGTATAAGAGTCTATTATATGCAAGACAGCGTGCTAGAATCTGCGATTAAAAGACGTATAAGACAGAGTTTATAAGGAGCTCATGGTCTTGTGGGAGACATGATTCGAGTCATAAAATAAAGTGTTCACACATGGTTTTTGTGGGAGCTTTGAGGAGGATTGCCTGCACCAGCTGCAGGGTCCCTTGGGAAGGATTCCTGAAAGAAAGGAGTGAGCTGAATCTTAACTGAAGAGCAGTAGGCATGACCTGGGTTCAGAAGAGTCCATCCCAGGAAGATGGGGCAGCAGGTATAAGAGCAGGGGGTATACAAATAGTATGCTGTGAATTATGTGTTTTAGAATTCTTAGTGCAAAGTCAGGGGGCAGTGTGAGACGAGAGTGAAGCCAGCATTGTGGATAGTTCATAGAGGGAGGACTTTGAGATGTTTTCAGCCACAGGTATAATCCTGGCAGCTCTGCAGAGGAGAGATTGGAAGAAAACAATATAAAAGACTGGGGGGGGGGAGTGGGGATAGCTGGGAAGGCCTGGCTGGTGTGGCTCAGTGGATTGAGCACCGGACTGCAAAGCAAAGGGTCACTGGTTTAGTTTCTAGTCAGGGCACATGCCTGGGTTGCAGACTAGGTTCCCAGTAGGGAGCACAGAAGTCAACCACACATTGATCTGTCTCTTCCTCTTTCTCCCTCCCTTCCCCTCTCTCTAAAAATAAATAAAATCTTCAAAAAGCGGGGGTGGGAAGAGGGTATCAACACAGTCAAGAAATAAAGAGAGTGGAACCCAGGGCAGTAATGTTAAGGATGGTGCTAAGGTATTGGTTTAGAGAAATATTTTGGAAGCAGAACTGCAGGACTTGTTGCTTGGATCTGAAGAAAGTGAAGAAAAGGAGGAAAGGTAGACTTCCAAGTTTCTGGCTAGAATGAATGGATAAATTCTGTTGGCCATGACTGTTGTTCTGAATACAAAGAGTGCATTTCAATTTTGACATTTTGAGTTGAGGTGCATTACATATTGGGGAAGAAATATTGAGCTAGTGGTTGAATAAATATGAGTTTGAAGCTCAAGAGTGAAGTTGGGGCTAGAGTTTAGGATTGTTTAGTCTTTAACCTGTGGGTGCTAATGGAATTGATGCAGGACAACTTATTAGTACAGACATTCTTTTCAAGGGCAGCTTGGAAACGACAATGAATTACCTCACTGAATTTGCATCAGAGGGAAGGTTTTTATACGTCCTTTGTAGTACATAAAACCTTCAGAGGGTAGAAGGACGGGAGGGGCAAGTTAACCCTCAGTAACACATTCCAGCCCTGCAAGCACCAAGGTCTCCTTTCATAAGCTCCACGCCCCTCAGTCCCTGAGGTCTCTAGCACGTATTTTACAGTGTAGGGGGTCTGGCCTCTGGATAATGAATCTCTAGCCTCCCACACTTCATTCTTCACGTTCTCATCTAATCTAAGAAATAAGAAAAGTGAGTACTGATGAAGTGTGGGGCTCCCTGCTTTTCCCTGCTTCTCCCCGTGCAGAGGAGCTTCTGTTTCTCCCGCTCCCTCATTTGCTAGTGCACTTGCTCTGACTCACCAGCTTTGTAACTGGCACAGCACAAATTTATGTCTCAGCAAACTTACAAATTACCGCCTGTAATGGATTTTGGGGATCGTTTATAAATAATTGAAACCATGATTGTTAAGTTCTTGAATGCCAAGGGCCTACTGAATATCAATATTCCATGGAGTTCCATAAAGAACATGATGAATTCTAGCTTTGGTGGCTCTTAAAAATAGTGTATTTGAGAAGCCCCTGACCCATAGCATTGATATCTATGAATTTATAATTTTTCTCTTTTAGAATACATTAGCATGTTAAACATATTCTTGTGAAAATATTATTTAAAAAAACAAATCCTTATTTCATGGAAGTGGAGGGGAGTTGAAATAGGATGCCAGACATTTCATGTCTTATATTTCATGTCACTGGTTTGTTTTTCATTTTTAAAAAGCAAAATAATACATGCTTGTTGTAAAAAAACAGAATATTCAGAAGCATGTGGAATAAAAAGTGAATGTATTTTAAACCTTCTCATTTGAATTTATAGCGAAGTAAGTACCTACATCACTTTATTGGGAATTTTTTTTTTGGAAAAAAAGTTGAATGGAATCATGGTACTACATATATTATTCTTATTTAATTATAGGTCCTTCCTTCCTTCTGTCCTTCCTTCCTTTTCCTCTGCATGCATTCTAATTTATTTAGCTACTTCTCTACCTGTATCCTTTTTTCTTTTTTTCCTATAATAAAGGTGAAGGATCTTGAGTGGGATTTCTTCTCCTATTGCCCCCAAACTGTTCCTGAGGCCCCTCAACTGGGGACGGAACTGCCAGCCATTTCATGTTTGAGAGGAGCCCCCAGCAGGGAGAGCCAGACCTTCCCCTGCAGGCTTGTTGAAAGGTGTAAGTGTTAATTGGGCCCCTACACAAAGAGAACTGAGAGACAAGAAGGGCTTAAGACTTGGGGAAGTGGTGTTTGTGGGGAGAAGTATTTTTCTCCCTTGTTCTAAAATCGAGAGAAGAGGGGTGCTCTCAGAGAATTACTTGTGGAGTTTAGAGATGCCATTAGGGAGGAGAGAGTGGCAATTAATTGGACATCTGCTTGACCAGTGGATTTGCTGACATTCCTACCTCATTAGTACCTGAATATGCAAAAACAACAACAAGAAGCCTGTGAGGATTGACCCAGTGGGAAATTGGTAGGTGGGGAGATGGGCCAGGATCGCCCCCCACCCCAGGGTTCCAGCCTCCGGCAGGTGTCAGTTGGTCCTACAGCAGAAGGGGATGCGATGGGCTGTGGTTGAGCAGCTTGGGAGGAAAGAATCTATGTTTTAGGGAATGTGGTATAAATGTCACCAGCTGAGGGTCAGCTTCAAGAGGCATCCAAATGATTCCTTTTCCTATAAGTTATTTATTACTGTACAAGAAACATGCTAAGACTTAGGTTCCATTTATAAGGTATTTAGTCAGTTGGTATAGTATATATTATGCTATATAAAGTTATAGTATAACATAGTAAAGTATATACTATACTATATTAAAGTTATATATCGTGTTTCTTTAAAAAAAAGAAAAATATTAAAACACAAGTAACTAGTCTAAAAGAAGTCATGTTAATAATATCTTCTCAAGAAATCGTAGCTGTTAGGTGTTAGGTAATACCAAAAACAGCCTTTTCCAGACAGCAGCTGGTGTTCAGGAGTTCTTAGTTATATGTGGGGGTGAGCATTCATGCGTATCTGGTCTGTGGTCATTACTTTCTAGAATTGGTTCCCAGGAGGACTGGGGTGTATCTGAGCAGTGTTTTTAGTCCATAGGAAGTATGAGTAAGTAAGAGTCATTTTTAATAGGATAAGACTAGGTTTACTTTTTATGTTGGCAATAAGTACAAATTGAAAAGGTTCTATAGTGCCTTTGAGAATGTTAACTTGGTTCAAGACACCTCTGATTGGTTAAACTGAAACTGTTATTCAGACCATGTCAAAGGAATCATGTTTACTTTCTGAGTTAGTCATAACATAGCTTCATGTAAATTTTTCTGTGAGAGAGGAGCAATTTAGCAATCAGCTATAGAAAAAAACATGATTATATTTAGATAGAAATAAAGTATTATGGTAACTTACAAGAAATTATAAGAACAGTGAATGTTAAGTGTATGACACATTGTTGAACAGAAAGAGATTAGTAAGCTTTTTGAGAAAGATTATATTCAAATGAAAGCAAATGTTGTATTTGCTTATATTTCACTTGCATTTTTGGTTATTTTTTACTGAATGTTGGACATGATTGTAAAGGTTTGATACAATTGAAAAGTCTTTTTCTAATAATTGTATTATTCTAAAGTTATGCAACTAGAGACATAGAAAGAGGTATTTTTATTAACTTTAAGGTAAATCTTGAAGTTTTAAAAAATATGTGTTATATGTATCTTGTAGCTTCATGCTTTTATTCTTAAATTTAGATAATTGTTTTTGAAACAACATTTCATCTATTTTTTTCTGATTTGTCTTCTAGCAAATACCACAATCACTTTCTACGATCACATTAAGTAACACAGATATGAATAACATGAAGACTTCTGCACAGAGAAACAAAATCCCAACAGAGGAACTTGGTAAAGTTCCTGAACATAAAATCATCACGAAAGGAACACTCAGTAAAGAAGCTGTGAGTCGTCCGGAGAGCTCTTCGGGTGCCCAAGGCCCGTCCTGCCGTGGCGAGTCTCGAGGTTCTCATCCTGAGTGCAGCTCTGGCCCTGCCGACCCTGAGACTTTGCGTACAAAGGCGGCTGATTCAGTTCCACAGGGTTCTGAAGAAAACAAGGTCAAGAGGACATCCTGCATGTATGGGGCAAACTGCTACAGGTAAAATGAAAGCGTCAGTAACATATAATTCCATTGTTTCAACAGCATGTAGCTATGAAGATATATGTTACCGTGTATTAAAAGCCTAAAAATACATTGAACTAAAGGTTAGAAGCTTTTTCGTGTGTCTACTTGGTACGTTCTCAGTATGCATTCCTGCAAATTCTACCAGAGGTTTTTAAGTATTAAATGTTTTACATGCTGATTAATGCAAGGATCTGAACTGGGGAATCCAGACTTGAAAATGGAATCACTCAGACCCAAATACCTGCCTACTTTAGTGTATGTAAATATTAGAAAGATAGCTTCACATATAGCCATGAAGTCATATACATTAGAATTTTAGAGTTAGAACTATCAATAGAATTTTAGGTTGTGTTTGGGCATCTTATAATACTTATGCATTTTCCCCTATATTTTTCTAATGGTACTTTTGAATCACCATGATGCATTTTAAAACAACTGAATATATATTTCCTGGCTCCATTCTATACTTACTTCATTTGATTACATTGTGGCATGTTTTCTAATTTTATATTTTGTAAATTCAAATTCTTTTCCCTTAATTTTAGGCTATAGTTTCATCTAGAATGTTTATACTACAATGTTTGTACATATGCAGTCTTATTTCAGAAGTATTTCCTCACCATTCCAACTTGTGAAGCCAACTCTTTTACCAATCATTCCAGTAGTTTGTTGTCTTCCATGCAAGAGTGTATCTGTGTCATGTATTCTGTTAACTTCGCATTCATATTATCCTTTAAAATGCCTTGCCATTTCAGCACTCGAATAACAATATTTTTTCCATTTCAACAGTTAGAATTTATACATTTATTCACAATTTTGTCCATTTTAAAATGGCCTTAGTTCCACATGTAGACCATAATTTATAAACATGTAGAAGTATATAAACCTTCTACAAGTTTAGAAGGTTTGGTATTTGTATTAGTTCACTAGGGCTGCCATAACAAAATGCCACTAGGTGGCTTAAACAACAGAAATTTATTTCACAATTCTGGAGACTGGAAGTTCAAGATCACTGTTGTCAGGTTTAATTTCCCCCAAGCACTTTCTCCTTGGCTTGCAGATTGTCTCCTTTTCATTGAGACTTTACATGGCCTTGAATCTGTATGTGCGCATATCTCAAGTCTCTTCCTCATCTTATAAGGACCAGTCATGATAGGCCCTGCCCTTTGACCTTATTTAATCTCAATCATCTCCCTAAAGGCTCTGTCTCCACATATAGTCATACTGGGTGCTAGGGCTCCAACATGTGAACTTGGGGCTATGGAGGGGACACGGTTCAATACAAACAGTATTCAACACCGGAATCTGTCTTTGTTAAAGGTGATTGAATGCTTTATCAAGATCCTAATAAATTCACTTATATTTGATTATGATACATGCTAATTTGAATCAATCATAGCTTATGGATAGTTATTTTAATATATTAATAATTTTGATATGCATGATTAATACTTAAGAAATATTGCCACTGAAATCTTGAAAACAAAATATATGTATTTGTGACAATGGGGAGAAAATAGTATATATTGAGTTCTTGTCGTATGTGTGTATCATACTCATTTGAACGTGTCTCTCCTCCGGCCTCAATGCCACCACTTTATTTCATGCCATAGTCTCTCTGGCACGAGTGAGTAACCTGCTAAGAGTCTGCACTTACCTTCAGATTCACACTCCTCTTTGTTGCCTGAGTGATCTGGCTAAGAAACTAAAAACAAAGATAAAAAGGAAGAGAAGAGAGAGAAAAATCTGACAGTATTTACTTTCCTATACAGAATCTTTTAGCAGGCGAAGTCCGGGTTTCTCAGGATTGTCCAGATGACCTCCCATTGATTCTTTCGATGCACCGTACTGTTCGATGTCCTCGGGCCACACTGTTCCTTTTCTTGTTCCTGTCCTGCTTAAAGATCTTGCTTACTTCCAACCCCTTTCTTTTCTGACATGGCCATGCTTTCCCAAGTTGCTCATCCTCCGTTCCATGCAACCTTTTTCCTCATACAGTTGCTAATATGTGGCATTAGATTTAATATTAACATCTAATTATTGATTTCTAATTATTTACTTACATGTTCTATCTCTCTTCGTAGAAGATTGTTCCATAAGGGTGGTCTTTTTTAATCCTTTGATATCGTGCTATTGCCTCCCCAATCTACATCTCCAGCACAGATGTGCACTGACCTTGAGGTCCACATGTGCTCCACTCTATCCACTTCAAATTGGACATGCCTGAAGCAGTCACATCTTATTTCAATCCTTTGGGACACAAAATAACAACAAAATAGCAACTGCTGCTTCCAAAACAAATATCTTTTGAAAGTTTTGTTAATAAACTATACTGGTTTTAAAATTTGGGTAGAAGTTGAAGTGTCTCTTACTAGCATGTAAGAAATTTATACCTTAAATTTGTAACTTTTGTCTATATAGGGGCATATAAATTGTCTAGGAGTTAATGGTGTGTACCATAGGTTTCACTCTGGTAATGAGTGGCAGGGTATCTATCTTGTTGAAGACCAAACCTCCCACTCAGAACAGCTAGGAAAGCTGAACATTCGCGTTTGCCAACATCAGAGGCAGCCAAAGACTTAGAGGCCCCTCTTCCCCTGGGACAGTTGCCCATTTTTTTGATGTCTCAGGGTGAGGGCTGAAAGGCCAACCAGCATTTTGGCGCTCTCGTGGGGCTTAGGAAACAAAACTGCAGTTCAGTGTACGCCAAGCAGGAGGATCCCTGTATGGGAGCATGGACATTCAGAATGGAAAATATGAAATCAACACAAGTAAATATTGACTGTGTAAAGCAATAATAATTTTTGTGTTGTGTAAAATATATGTGAAGTTAAAGTATATGAAAATCTGCCCTGACCAGTGTTACATGGTTGGAGCATCATCCTGTGGACTGGAGGGTCACAGTTTAAATTCCCTGTCAGGGCACATGCCTAAGTTGTAGGTTCGGTCCTCTCGGTGTATGAGAGGCAACTGATTGATGTTTTTCTCTCACATCGATATTTGCCCCTCTGTCCCTCCCTTCCTCTCTCTCTAAAATCAATAAGCATGTCCTCAGTTGAGGAATATGTGTGCGTGTGTGTATGTGTGTATGAATGAAAATAGCACAGAAGTGTTTGAGTGTTAAAGCAAGTCAAATTTGACTACTCTAGATACATCATAGACTTGCAATCATATGGCATTTGTCATTTTGTGACTGCTTTATTTCACTTAAAATAATGCCCTTAAGGTTTATCTATATTGTAGCATGTGTCAGAATTTCCTGCCATTTTAAAGCTCCATAATATTTCGCTGTATGCGTAGATCACACTTTGTTTACGCATTTACCTCTCAGTGGACACTGGATTTCTTCAGTCTCTTGGCCATTGAGAATAATGCTGCTATGAGCATGGGTGTGCAAATGACACTTTGACATTTTGCTTTCAATTCTTTTGGATGTTTATGCAGAAGTAGAATTGCTGAATAATATGGTATTTGTATTTTTCATATTTTGAGGAGCCACCATACCGTTCCCATAGCAACTGCACCATTTTACATTTCTGACATGTGCAAAGTTTCTAATTCCTCCACATCCTTATCTATACTTATCATTTTCTATTTGCTTGTTTGTTTGTCTTTAGTAGTAGCCATCTATCCTTATTGCTGTGAGGTATAATATATTGTTATGTTTAATTTGCATTTCTGTAATAATTAGTGATGTTGAGGGTTTTTTTACATGATGGTTGGCCATTGTATATTTCCTTTAGAGAAATGTCTTTTCAAGTTCTATTTCCATTCTTGAATTCAGTTATTTATTTTTTTCAGTCATGGAGTTGGAGGATTTCTTTATATATTCTAAATACTAGCTATTATTAGATACATGGCTTGCAAATATTTCCTCCTGATTTTGAAGATTGCCTTTTACTCTGTTAATTGCTGTCCTTAGATGCACAGAAAATTTCACTTCTGTTGTAGTCAAATTTATTTATTTTTACTTTTATTGTCTTTATATTTGGCAAGAAATCTTTGCCAACTCCAGTGTTGTAAAGCTCCTGTCCCCCATTTTCTTCTCAGAGTTTTATATTTTAGGTCTTAGGTTTAGGTTTTTTATCCTTGTTAATTTTGTATATAGTTAGAAGGGCTCTGCCTTTATTATTTTGCATGTGAATGCCTAGTTTTCCCAACATCATTTGTTGAAAAACTTATATTTCCCCCATTGAATGGTCTTGACACCATTGTTGAAAATCATTTAACCTTGTTTATTAGGGTTTATTTCTGGATTCTCTGTTCTCTTTCATTTGTCTATAATCCTATCTTTATGTACTATGACTATTTTGATAATTTTAGTTTTGTAATAAATTTTGAAGAGAGTAATGTGGGGTCTCCAACTTTGTTCTTCTTTTTCAAGATTGTTTTGGCTGTTCAGAGTCCCTTGAGATTCCATATGAATTTCTCCAAAATATACCATTGGGATTTTGATAGGGAATGCATTATATCTGTAGATTTCTTTGGATAATGTTGGCATCTTTGTAACAATATGAAAACTTCTATGCCATAACCATGGGATGTCTTTATATTTATTTGTGTCTTTAGTAGAAATTAAACCAGTGTACGAGTCTTTCATCTCTTTAAGTTTATCTGCAAATATATTTTTATTTTTAATGTTTTATTGTTACAGTTGTCCCATGTTTCCCCCATGTCCCCCTTCAGTCCTCCACCCAGCCCTCCCCCAGCTTCTGCAGTCAGTCCCCACACCGTTGTCCGTGTCCACAGATCCTTTATGTATGTTCTTTGACTAATCCCTTCATTTTCTTTCAATCAGTTCCCATCTCCCCCCTCTCTTCTTATAGCTCTGTGTCTGTTCCATGATTTCATGCCTCTGGTTCTATTTTGCTCACTAGTGTATTTTGTTCATCAGATTCCTCTTATAAGTGAGATTTATGATTTTTTTTTTACCGACTGACTCATTTCACTTAGCATAGTAGTCTCCAGTTCCA